AAAAAAAACCGTCATCTTTACTTCACAATAGACGACCCTTTTTAAAAACAAACCGTCATCTTTTCATATAATAGACGACCCTTTTTTAAAAAACCGTCATCTTTACTTCATAATAGACGACCATTTTTAAAAAAAACCGTCATCTTTACTTCATAATAGACGACCATTTTTTTTTAAAAAAACCGTCATCTTTACTTCATAATAGACGACCCTTATTATAAAAAAACCGTCGTCTTTACTTCATAATAGACGACTATTTTCATATAAAAAAGGTCGTCTTTACTTAATAATAGACGACCCTTTTTATATAAAAAGGGTCGTCTTTACTTCATAATAGACGACCATTTTCATATAAAAACGGTCGTCTTTACATATAATAGACGACCCTTTTTATATGAAAAGGGTCGTCTTTACTTAATAATAGACTACCCTTTTTATAAAAAAAGTCGTCTTTACTTAATAATAGACGACCCTTTTTATAAAAAAACCGTCATCTTTACATATAATAGACGACAGTTCTTTCAAAACAACCATGTCTTTACCAAAAAAAGGACATTTGATTTTTAAAAGACAACGCTTGTCATACCTGCTGTCGTTGTTTTTTGGTCAGATTTTAACTCTGAAGAAAAGCCTTTTAATAAGACGACGCTTTTTTCTTTGTGTGCGTCGTTATAAAAAAATTCTCAACAGTATCTCCATTTTTTAGTTGTTTAAGTCACTTATCCACGACGGTTTTTTGTTACCGTCGTCTTTTTAAAAACAACGACGGTTTTTTGTTCTACCATCGTCTTTTGCCCTTTTTGTAGTAGTGCCACAAAGCATTGATCACCTCATGGGTTGCTCTTTCCAACTCATACAAAGAATTTACCTCGGAAAACCTCGTATTCTATGCTGCATGATAGTTCGCTGAACCTTGTATTAATATGGTCTCAGTTTTTCCTTCAATGGCTAAAGATACAAGGGAAGCCATGACCCAATCGATGGCAAGCTAGTCCAAGAGGACATCAAAGTTGGCTGATCGTGGAGTGGCGGTGCGCCGATGCCAGGAAGGGGTGGGTTTGATTTCTTGGTTTTATTATTAATTTTATTGAAAGGGTAAAATTGGGCTTTAAGAGTGTTAAAACTAAACCTAAACTTATGATAGTTGACGAGTTATGTTATAGGTCGTTAGATTATTTCAACAACTAAGATTAAACGAAATGCAGAAAAATGCGTAGATTCTAAATTAGAGGTCTAGATCCCTCTAACAACATAGTAAAAACAAACACTCTCAAAAGATGAGGCTAGGTGAATATCCTTGATAATAATACGAATCCTCCATGATACAGAACATGACCAATGAGGAGCTTTTAATCGCCTTCAACTAAGGTTTTGGAGTAAAACTTTGAAAAGATTATCCTTTACATCTGCCCTTCAACAATTTTCTTATTTAGTTAGGCCAGCCAAATCAGGATAGCCAACGAACAGAATGCTCAATATTGTTCCTTCACTACCAAAAAAAAAAAAAAAAAGCAATAGTCAGTTTTTTTGGGTGACTTTTGACAGTATTAGTCACCCCTTTAGTTACAAATATTGGGTGGGTGACATAGAGAGGGGTGACTTTGGGCTTTGTCACCATTAAAAGAGTCAAGTGACAACAATATGTTGACTTTCCAGCTGACTTTAGACTAATATTTTATTATTATTTTCATATTTAATTAGGCTAATTATTTTGTGAATTATATATTTTTTAAATACTTACAATTTCCACTTGATATATTTTAATGGCATAATAATAATAATTCCTTGCTAATGCAATTCATGTGTAAAAAAAAGCACCTCTAATATTATAAATAGTCAATTGATACATGGTGGTAATTAAGGCTCAGTTTGGTATTGCTTAACTTAAAAAAATAAGCAGCTTTGAAAAGAAGTTTTGGAGATTTGAGTGTTTGGTAAAACCAATTCAACCTGCTTTTTTTATAATATGTTGTCATTCACAGCCAAAAAGTAGAAGCAGCTCACACCCTGCTTCTAAAAACTGCTGCGAGGAGAAGCATGTGGAGGTTTAAATGAAATTTTCAAATTGCCCATATTGCCCTTATTTGTTTCAAACAATTACATGCTATATCCTTGTCATCCCGAGTTCGAACCTCCCAAGTGTCGTTCCTTTTTGATTTTCTGGATTGCTTGCCTCATCCTCTCTCTGCAACTTGCTCCCCTTCCTCAATCCGTCAAAGCTACCATCTCAACCCAAAACCTCACCAACCCACCTCCCTATTTTACAGACCCAGAATATCTTCTTTCCCTCCAACTAAAAAAAACCCCAACCTTAGCTCCACAGTTTATCATCTCTACAGCCACATAAAATTCAACACCCAGATTACCCACCAATTATCTCATTCAGCAAAAGAAAACCAAACCCCCAACTTCCTTGCCTTCCCCACCAAAACACAAACCCAATATTATAATCCCACTATTCACATCCATAAAGCAAAGAGAGAGAGGTGGGCATGTAGCATCGACGTCCCAAGCGTCATCGCCAAACCCAAATACCAACTTTAAAAAAAAAAACAAGGTCTGGGAAGGATGAAGAAAAGAGAAAGGAGGAGAAGAGGAAGAAAAAAAGGGGGGGAGGGGGCCTGGGAAGGTAGAAGAAAAGAGGAAGAATTAAAAAAAACATGGGAAGTGAAGAAGTCTTGGAAGGAAGAAGAAAAGAGAAAGGAGGAGAAGAGGAAAGGAAAAAAGGGCGAGAGGTGGGGGGCCTGGGAAGGAAGAGGAAAAGAGGAAGAAAAAAAAACACTGGGAAGAGAAGAAGAATAAAGAAAGGAAGTGAAGAGGAAGAAACAAATAAAAATGAGAAAAAGGAAAAAAGAAAGGTGTCGGCTGCTTTTGAGTTTTTTTTAAAATTTTTTTTAATTAGTTAACTTACATCATACATTTTTTTTATTTTTTTTATTTTAAACTTTTATTACCCTTTTTCGTCATTATACACTCTCACAGCACTTCCATATAAAAGTTTACCAAACACTTTGATACTGTTTTTCATACTCACAGCACTTTTACAAATACATATTACCAAACACTTAGCTGCTTCATTTTACCGCTGTTTATTTTCGCAGCACAGCAGAATCAATTTTTTTTAAAAGCACAGCAATACCAAACTAAGCCTAAGTAGTACAATCTTTTTCTGATAAAAGAAAGTAGTGCAATCCTCTCCAAACACTAATATATACAGAAGCCTAACAAGACCTACATCTAGTACTCATAATCTGAGCCTTTCTCACATCCGAACGTACAAATGATAAGAAGAGAGACATAGATGCGAAAGGGGAGAGCGAGACATCGAGACATAGAACGCGAGAGACAGAGAAGATAAGGAGAGTGGCAGTAGGGCCGCTGAGAGAGCAAGGCGAGGGAGAGCGAGATGAGCCAGAGAGAGAAAGCCAGAGAGCTTGGGAGAAGAGATAATACGAGGGTTGAAAGAGAAGATAGATTGAGGATTTACAAGGAGAGGCAGACAACTTGAGAGAAGAGGGAGAGGCAGAGAACTCAGGAGAAGAGATGATAAACGAGTAGAGAGAGAAAATAGATCTAGGTTTTACATTAGCTAGTGAAGATCCAAATAAAATAATTAAAATTGATTATTGTTTAAGTGTTTTTTAAAAAAATATTATTGTTTAAGTTTTAGTCACCAAAACAAATGTCACTAATTTATTATATTCAAATCAAATATCACCAAAACATTAAAATGTGAGTAAATTGGTCACAAATAATGATGAGGAGTAGAACTTAACAAATAAAGTCATTGACCAACCTTCAAATGTCACCAAAATCCATTGCCTACATTTTTTTGTAGTGCTTTGTCTGGGTGAAAAAAAAGGTTCCTTTGTGGATTATTAAGTGAACGAATTGAAGATGTCATTGTAAAGTTTAATATGATGGAAGTTGAGGTCCCATTTCAAAATTAATTGCCAATTGAGAGAGTAGCCCAACTCTTTCTAAGCTTATGTTGGGTCCCTTAACTCTTCAATAGGAACAAATCTCTCAACATCTCCAACAATCCGCGAGGCCTGAATTATAGAACTGTGTCCTCGCTAGTGAGTGAAAAAGAAGCAAGTAATAAAAGCTATTGTATTTGGGAACCAAAATTTTTATATAGAAAAACATTTTGAGAAACATCTTTTGTTGTTGATAATATATGAACATGTGTTGAGCCTTTATAAGAACACGTTCGAATGTGATGCAAGTGTTTGATTGGTTCCTTGATTCTGGAAACAATTGCCCATAAAGACCAAAATTCAAGTTGTGCAATGTTGATAATCACATTGAGGAGGTGGCATATGGATGTTATTTTAGATTATTGGATAGAATTATCATATCATTATTAATTCCATGTTCAGTGCTTTTGTTATCACTTTTCCCTTCGAGACGCTTAAAACTAACACGCAAGAACTTCGATATGGTCATCCATGACTGCCAAACCTCAACCAAACCCGAATAAAAAAATGGTAACTTTTTTTTTCCGATATTGACTTGGTCGTGAGACTTTTCCTCACACTTCTCTTCTGTCCCTTGGGGATTTTAATCAGCATATCCAGTTTAAGGATGGTCACATCATTAAACTTTATTTCTTAGCCATGGTTTCCTCAACATTCAGATTATTGATCCTCTGTACACAACTTGCCTTACTCATTCTCATCATCAATATTAATATCACTCATGCACAGCTTCAACCGCTTACAATTCCAGCCTTCTGTGATAACAAAGGCAACTACACCACTAACAGCACCTACCAAAAAAACCTCAACGACCTCCTCTCCTCCTTGCTCTCCAACAACAACGGCTACGGGTTCTACAACTCCTCCCGCGGCCAAAACTCGGACACAGTATTCGCAATTGGGCTTTGCAGAGCAGATGTGAAGTCCGACGCTTGCGGTAAATGCCTCAGTGACGCCACCTATGCTCTCCCGGAGGCTTGTCCTAACCAGAAGGAGGCAATTGGATGGTACCCAAATTGCATGTTACGCTATGCAAACCGCTCTATGTACGGCCTGCTGGAAGTTAATCCAGCTAACGCTGCGAGGAACACAGAGAACGTATCATCTGCAAGCTTGGATGCCTTTAACCAAGAGCTCACTGCCTTGTTCAAGAGACTTGGAAGCGAAGCAGCAGGGGGCGGCGATCTGCGTAAGTTTGCAGTAGGAAACGCAAGCGTTGGCTCGAATTCTAATATAACAATCTATGGACTTGCTCAGTGCACTCCAGATGTGTCGGAGGGAGAGTGTGCTACTTGCATAGATGGTGCTTTGGGGGTTGTCCCATCATGTTGCAGTGGAACAATTGGTGTGAGAATTGTTACACCTAGCTGTAACATACGGTATGAGATTAGCCCCTTCTTTGACAGTACAAACGAGACACCACTGCCATCGCCCCCCTTAGCAACACCGGCCTCTGCCCCTCCTCCACCACCAACCGGTGCCACGACTCCAGGAGGTATTGTTTATGTCATGTGTCCCATATTGATCATGCATTCATAGTCAACAAAATATGTGGTTGA